AAAAAGCCCGAACCATGAATCCAAATCAAAAAGCCCAAAGACCCTCCAGGCGGGCCTGAACTGGGTCGAGAGCCAAGGTCCTGCAGGGGGCTTAGGAAGTTTAGGGCTTAGGGTAAACCCTAAGGCCTAAACCCTAGACCCCACTAAGCTGCTGTCCCGACAGCCCTGGAATACCTAAGGCCGGAATAGAATTCTCTTCAGGGATGTGGGAATTGGGTGGAGGAGCAGGGGAGTGTGGGTTTGGGTGAGAGGTACACAGCTTCAGGTCCAGCACCCGGCGGTTTAGGGTTTTAGGGTTTTAGGGTTTTAGGGTTTAGGGTTTAGGGTTTAGGGTTTAGGTTAGGGCTGCAACTGAGGTGGCATCCCCAAACCCCTTCCTCATCCCACAAACCAGTTTAATGGGACTTGTTCTAATTGGGCCTCCTTGTCGAAACCAATTTAGGGTCTAGGTTATGAACCAGGTTCTTTCTACAAGGCCCCAAGCGGGAGACCCCAAATTTGACGAAGTACAATACGTAGCCATGGCCACTGCCGCAGAAGTGACACACTATCTCTGTCGGAGGTTGCTCCAGATTGTAGGCTGTGACAGTGGAAAGTTGAGAAGTTGAGAGGTTAAGGTCCACCCCCCCCCCCCTAAAACCCCTAAACCTAAACCCTAAACCCTAAACCCTAAACACAAAACCCTAAACCCTAAACCCTAAACCCTGAACCCTAAACCCTAAACCCTTAAACCCCCCTCACTGCAACAGCTGCAAAGTCCTGGCAAGGGATAACTGACTTTTAGCGATTCTGGCTCACCATAAGCCCGAAATCCTGCAAAACCTAGCAGCCCTTAATCCGAAATCCTGATCCTCAAAAACAGTAAGCCCCTAAGACCTCCGTCGTAGAGGAGTCCCCCGCTTCTTAGTAGGGAATGAGGGCTATACCCGAAACCCTAAACCCTAAACCTCAAAAGGGGATCTCATCCCCTCTCATTCCCCCACTAAGAACCAGCCAGCAGGTTCCGGGCTAGGCTCCTCGTTGGGCGAGCCGCGGGGTCGCCCAGTTGGCATCGGCTTCATGCCCGTCCTTGGGTTAGGGTCTAGGTTTTTAGGGTTTAGGGTTTAGGGGTTTAGGTTTAGGGTTTGGGTTTTTAGGTTTAGGGTTTAGGGTTTAGGGTTTAGTTTAAAGCCCAATAAGCTCCAAAAGCGGCTTGCCCCTAATCCGTAGGGGTCCCTAAGCCCTTCCGAAACAGGCTTAACTTGGCTAATTAGTGGGATGTTTATCTGTTGCAGGGAACATGGCGATGGAAACTATTTGCAGGGTTTTTCGGGATCTTTTTGCCCCGAAGTTGTTCCGAACACAGTTCTGCAGAATCAGACCAAGGATGCTGAGCCCACTTCCTGAAGTGGTTTAATGAGATAGCGTGCCTCCGAAACACAAACCCTATGCTAAACAGCCCACCAACCCTTGACCCTCAACTATCTCCCCTTGGAACCTTAATGAAAAATAATACTTTTAATATCCCTTCGGTTTTACATGAACAAAAAACAATTCCCCCAAGGGGGATATAGTCAATAAATTCACCCAAACCCTAAACCCTAAACTCACCTTGGTAGGTTCCTATGGCAGGGCCTCGTTGGCCTCCAGCGCGCACGGCCTCAGTGCCGCGAAGGTTTGGGTTTTAGGTGCGGGAGGAGCTTGGAGCTTTGGGGGTTTAGGAGTTAGGGTTTAGGGTTTGGAGTTTAGGGTTTAGGGTTTAGGAACCCCCTGGACTTGGCTGAAATAAGGAGGGTAGCTATAAAATTTGTTGTTGCCTAACTAGGAAAAACCCAATAAAACCCCAAAGGCTACGGATCAAAGTTACAGTACAGCACCACAAAGCCCACACCCTAAACCCTTACTCCCAAGCCCTAAAACCAAAGACCCCACCCCATAACCCTAAACCCTTATAAACCCCTAAACCCTAAAACCCTAAACCTAAACCATAAACCCTAAACCCAAAAACCCTAAGCCCAGACAGCTTTTCGAGTTTGTTGAGGACTCCTGGGGTCGGCGAGGAAGAGCTGCGGATGGACTGCGGACGCCGAGATGACGACGGCGCAGCCTCCCGAGCCCGGGGGAAGGCTTGGGGACTTGGGCTTTTGGGTGTTTTTTGGGTTTTTGGGGCTTGGGGTTGGGGGTTGGGGGTGGGGTTGGGGTTTTGGGGCTTGGGGCTTAGGGTTGGGGCTTGGGTTGGGGTTTGGGGAAGGTTGGTTGGGGTTTGGGGTTTGGGTTTGGGGTTTTGGTTTTGGGCTTTTGCAGAGTCGGCAAAGATAGGCGGCCTACGTGCGGGCTGGAGTTCTCTGGGCGTTTTTGGGCTGGGACCCGTTTTGCTCAGTTTCTAGATGTTCAGGCTAGGGAAAAGAGGCCTTCAACGGTAAGCCATTCTAAGCTCTACTCCACAAGCCCATGCATGCCCTTACTTCAGCAATGTAGCTCCAGACTCTACACAAACCAACATCCTCAAACCATGTCTTTA